CTCTAAATTGCAAGAGCCTTTCTTCTCTGACTTCATGCCTGAACCTGTCTGTGAGGTGGAACAGTCTGAACTTAAAGACAATCTGTTTGCGTCTGCGGGAGGAGGGCAGGACAGACCTTTGTCCTGACCATATTGACTGTCTCACACAGCCCTGTAAGCTCTAATCCTCCTTTAAGATGCTCAGTCAAGCCACTCTTCTGCCCCAGCACAGCTAGAGCCAGTCACAACACTTTAATCAGAATTTTTTTTTTCTTTTTTTCAGCAAAAGGCTTTTTGATCAGAACAAAAATCAGCGGACCTTTTACCTTTTCTTCCTTTTTTTTCCATGACTCTCCCCTGTAAGAAAAACTATGAGATAAATTAAGGTGAAAGAGAAAATGTAGAGGGAATAATATACCTACACCAGTTTTCAAAAACCCTTTTTTCTGTGGAAAAAACTTAGCACCTTTCAGTTTGGTCTGGTGCCAGCCCAAGGCACAATGGGCAAATCACTGAAATGCAGATACCACACACACGAGAGGTAGCTAGCTAGTCAAAGGTAAAGACTTGAGTACCAGTGCTGACAAGAGCTCTAAGAATAAAAAAGGGCAACTTAAAATGAATCTGCTGCTTTAACGGCAAGTGTCATAAATAATACAAGGATGGGCATAAGTTCAGGTTTGGTGCCCTTCATTAGGTGTCAGCATGAATTGTCTCCTGGCATTGTCTGTCGGATTCGAGGCTTCCACCCTGCACGGACTCTGAGTGCTGGACTGTTGTTCCACCAACTGGGCTGTTCTTCATATGACAGGTTCGATCGAGGTCTAATCTTTTGATTCCTGTTTATTTTGGCTGTGGAGGTGGCCATTACAAAACGTATGGCACCATTTAAAATAGTAGGAGATAACTCTATGCCTCAGTCTGTTTCCTGTTCCTCAGGAAAATGGGATTTTAAGGCTAAAACCTCAGTCAGAGCATTGTGGAGTGAGCGCGTGATAGCTGCCACGTTTTTTTTTTGCTGGCACAACTCTTATCTGCATTTAACTCATCCCGTTGTCAAACCTTCTTTGTGTTGTAGTGCATCTTAAATGTAAGTGCACGTGAGGCAAATACCGACCGTTCTGTGACTGGGGGCCCCTTAACCCTACCGCAACAGAAACAGTAATAAATGATAATATAAGATAGACTTCCTGATAATAGTACGAGATAACCTGATTAATCTCAAAATGCTTTTATTGTTTTGCAAGCTATGGAGCCCTGCATATGATGCTTAAGAGTTGTTATTCCCCTGTTTATTACTAAGGAAAATCATTCGTAACCCCAGTTGCTTTCAGATTTAACTTTTCATTGTTTTTAAGAACATGTGTGTGGGTGCATCTACACATGCAGTTAATTCAAAGCAATAAACTCTGGAGCAATAGTAACCTACGCATGAGCGCAGTGTCTACATGTGCGTCCAGGACAGCAGGAATTTGAGCAGAGGTGGGGCAGTTAACACCAGGGCCAGGGGCACAGCGAGTCAGCCCTGGGCTCTGGGATAGTGGTGTTGGGTAGCAGAGAAGCTGGCTGGGGCACAACGGTGTTGAAAGTGAGGAGCCTTATGGCTAGGCAGCAGGCAAGAGTGTGGCCCTCTGCTAGTTGGGGTGACCAGGTGGAGCTTTTGTCTGCAGTTGGCATCTACATGTGTGTTTTAATCACAGTTAATTACCCCACTGTAAGATAGTAATGTCCCTGACCAGTACTATCTTACAGCGGCGTTAATTAGTCTACTGTGGCCTGATACTGTCATGCATGTAGACAATGACCCTTTACTCCACAGCTAATTAATCTACTTTGCAGTTAAGCACACGTGTAGAAGTGGCCTGTATGTTGTTTGAATTGCCCATGGGTTCCTCTGGTATTTTTAACCCTTTTATGCTCTACTTTGTACCCGTTTTCATTAACCTCTGTGTGTGTTAATGACAACTTTTTAAATCACTGAACAGTAGGTATTGTAGAACAAGTTAAGGCAGCTGCAGATTTTTATAGTAAAACAACTCAAACATACTGGAATTTCTCTACCATGACCAGACATTGTTGTCACATTAAATGGAGCCCATCAAGTAAACATTTGCTTTTTAAATTAGTATGATTCTATATTTAATTGAATGCAGACAGTATACTGGCAATGATTAAAAAGGTAAGATGCAAGTGAATTGACAGCAGAGATAAAACAGATTAAAACTGAAGAGCATAATATTCATGTTCAAGCCTTCTGCATAGAATGATATCAAAGGTAGTGTTATATATACTTCACACTTGTTTCTTTAAGCACTTAGTGAATATGATTTAGGTTACTCTTTGGGCAACTTGATAATCTCTCCATTTTCAGAGAAGAATTAAAAAACCCCCAAAAACAATTCCCTGATCATTTATTTACAAAGAACAGCAGTGGTAGTTAGTTATGGGTAAGGTAAGGAGGGCCGGTTTAGGATTTTGTCAGTTCTTTCCAGTTGCAGGATGTTCTTTGACACTGAGCTCTGTTGCCTTCAGTAAAATTGTCACGAGCTTGGGGTGAGATATGGGGAGCAGAAGAGTTAAATTAGTTGGGGTAGTGTAAGAGTGATGTAGCTGTGATGGTCCAGAAATTATGCAAGAGGCAAGGAGTTCTTGGGGTGATATCTTTTATTGGGCCAGCTGTGATGTAGAGTTAGACAGACTTTCTTAGGAAGAATGTTTTGCATTTGAAAGCTTTTCTAACTCTACTACACAGTTGGTCCAGTAAAAGTTACTACCCTAAGAAATCCTTGCCTCTTGAGATTTGTTTTGAATTTATTCTGTTGCATTATAATGGGATTGAATTTGCAGCACTACTAATAAAAAATGTGTGAGTTGTCTACAGGGCAAATGAATTATATGCGGTCTGTTTGTTGAAAATTGTATTACTCAAAAAAATCTTGCTATTGAAGGAATTCAAGAAACAGGGTTAAATGTACTTTTGCAAATAATAAATTCCACTGGTAAAGTTTAAAGTACTCTTCAATGGCATTTGCTTCTGTGAAACCAGTGTCCTAATTCAAAGTTGATGGTATAGCTGCAGGGTGCCCTTGATAAAAGTAATATGCCTTCTAATTGAAAGGTCTGTATTTGAATTTACTATGGATGGCTTGCTTAGTGGTTATTTAGTGGTTGAAATTTGAACTCTTCCTTCATGGTGCTATTTACACTTACTTTTGGCATGTTGTCTAAATTCTGCTTTGTAATGTTCCTATTTAGCAAGCTAACTTCTTATTTAGCTGCCTTTAGACTATCTTGCATACTATATGGAGACTAGCAATCACTTCAAGGCTAGATGAAACACAATTTGGAAAGATCTTAAAGAAAAACAAGAAATTATTGCCAAGGTGCGAGCACCAAAAGGGCTGGCTCACAGGTCTTTGGAATATATCGAACGTGAAAGGTCTGTGTATGTGACAGACAGATAGATAGGCAGGTAGATGGACTTGCCATACTTAATCTGTTTCGTGCGTCTTTTCCCCAAAGTAATATTTTCTACTTTTTAAAGAACCTTTTTAAAATCAGCTATTCACTAATATCAAAATTTCCTTACAAACTCCTATGAAAACCTGGGAGAATTAGATGGGGTATAAGCACTTGCATCAAATTTATATAATGCTATTTGAGTAAAACACATTGAAGCAGGGGTTTTCAACCTTTTTTGAGGAGTGTGTCCCTTCTGGGTACACTTCTGGTAGAGTGGATGGGGGCAAGGGGGTGGGGGGGTTGCAGTGGCTTGA